TAGCGCGCACCACAACACGAGACCAAATCGGTCAGAATCAAATCCTTTATACACAATGTTTCTAGACGTTATCTGTCACAATGACACAAATACATTAATTTCTCTACCTGTCTCTCTCTGTCTCTAAATTTTAACATTAGCATCATTCCTTACAGTTCATCGTTCATTTGCAGTTATTCCTTTTGAACTGTATTTTTCGTATTTTCATTTCTATAACTTTCAATACTATTTATGATCCAATGTTTTTTATCTAGTTGAATCTCACTTGATGTGATTGTTGACTTTAAATTTAACAACTTGTACCTTTACATACTCATATTAAGTTCCTTGCGGTGTTAGTTGATTGACTAAACAACAGATAAACCTTTGTATTATGCACAATCTAGTTTCAAAGAGAATATATCCCACAAAGATAATAGACTGTAACAGTCTACTGTGATGAAACTGCTTAGTCACATGTGTTTATTACAAACTCAACATTTAAAATATCCTCATACTTAAAAAAATGAATTCAAGCAAATCTCAATTTCTGTTTGTAGAAATTTTAATTTTTTTTTTTTCATCAAAAAGATACAAATTAAACAACAGAAATTCTTAATCGGTTTCTATAAAAAAGACCAGTTGATCAATCTATTTGGAAAGACTTAAACATTAAATTCAGTTCTAGTTTTTTTTTTCTCCCTTCAACTACATTCACTATGAGAAAATACAAGTTGTTTTCAACATATGTAAACAATTAAAAAATTGTTTGTAAACAAACAAGTATGTAACATTAAATTGCAACGCTTATCAGTAGATTTCTTAACTGAAAATTTTATATTTGTACTCAATCGGGTATTATTTTCAATAAAATCAACAAGAAAATTATAGTCTCGTAAATTAGTGTTATAAGTCTATGACAAGTCTGGATTAGAATAGTTATTGAAGTATTCATCACTGAAAAAAAGAATTTACAACTCTGTACCTAAATACTTGTTTGAATATTCTGTTTTGAGTCACACTTTTCTATGAGGATTGATGATAGTACGATTGTCTAAGTCAGAGGTAGGTTCATCGATATTCGAACCCCACTACCTGATGTTTGGGACGTGAGTACTGTGACTACCAAGCTAGCGCTCCTCATCAATAAGAAGCTTGGTTATGAGTTAATAGGTAAACAGTTATCTAGAATGTTCTTAATTATTCTCATATTTAATTAAAGTTAGTATTCAGTGACATTATAGGGAATAGCTTAAGCCAATTACTACGCTTAAACAATTGTTATGAATCTTGTAGGTCGAGTAAACTAAATTGGGAAATGTATCCGAGTTACAAAAACAGATCATTAATTCTCTTTGAATCATATTTTTATCCTGTACAAAAAAAAAATACTAAAATGACTGACTTCATATTTATAAACTCGACATTATGTTCGTTACTTAGTTGTTCCCACGACTAAGTTAATTTCGCATTTATATGTATAGATTCGTGTTTTTTAGTTTTTATATACTTGAAGGATTAATGTTTTACTTTGTTGCTTATATAATTACGTTATTATTTGACTCTTGATTTCATCTAATTAGTTTTTGCTTAAAAAAAATTCATTATATATTTTGTTTTTAATTTTAGGTTCGCCATTTTCAAAAACTACCCTTAAAGAGTTTGATGTTGTCCATTTTTGAATTGTCTATAGACCCGATTATTTCACATCAACTGTATGCTTCATTACTTCCTGAAGTCTTATCTGTTCCAGGTACATTAATAAAAATGAATATTATTTTATACTGTCTTTGTTTAAGTTACAAATAAGAAGGGAAGTTAGCCAACTGAAATTGTTCAATATATGTCTGTTATTGTAGTTTTAGTTATATTTTGCTTACATATGCTTCATCATCAACTTTTTTTCTGTCTTCAACGTCGTTGACTTTCATGAAGATGGGATTTTGTTGTAGGGCTGGTCGAAGACCTGGATTCTTTAGTCAGTTCTTTTGCATATACATGTGCTGATCAACACTCTATGAATTAAAACGATGATTACTTTGTTCTCAAGTTACTTTAGAACTTGTCTGGCTAATTAATAATATATTTGATCGCCTTTAAAAAATGTAATTTGCTTGTCTTCTGTTTTCTTAAGTCTAGTATTTTCAACCTTACGAAGTCAACCGTTTTATGCAGCAACCCGGAATTTTGTATAGAGCCAGCATGTTTTCTGATAAAACACTCTGTGATAAACTTAATTGCTTACTTACGCCCGTTACCCCCGAAGGAGCATAAGTCGCCCACCAGTTTCTTCCAACCAACTCTGTCTTGGGCTTCCATTTCCAGTTCTGTCCAATTTTTATTCACTTTTCTCATGTCTTTCCCTATTTCTCGAAGTAATGTGTTCTTTGGCCTTCCTCATTTCTTTTTATCTTGAGAGTTCCGAGAGAGGGCTTGTCTTGTTACGCAGTTAGGTGCTTTTCGCAGTGTGTGTCCTATCCACTTCCACCACTTCTTCCTGATTTCCTCCTCCACTGGAATCTGGTTCGTTCTCTCCCACAGTAGGTTGTTGCTGATCGTGTCTGGCCAATAAATCCGAAGTATGTTGCGTAGAAAACTGTTAATGAATACTTGTATCTTCTGGATGATGGCTCTTCAAGTTTCCGCTCCATACAGTAGAACTGTGCTGACATTTGTATTGAAAATTCTGACTTTGGTGTTGATTGGTATTCGTTTGAGTCCCAGATATTGTTGAATTGTAGAAATGTAGCCCTTGCTTTGTCGATTCGCGCCCTCACATCTGCATCAGATCTCTCTTGATTGTCGATGATGCTGCCTAGATGTGTAGAGATGTCAACCTCCTCCAAGGCGTGTCCATCGAGAGCGATTTGGTTGGCGCATGTTGTATTGTATCTCAGGACACTCCGCCTGGAGGCCCTCTGAGGATACTGCCGGTCCTAAGCCCGGATAAAGGAGGAAAGTTGGACATGGGGTTGTCGACCCTATCCCACAAAAAATAACTCGCTAAAAAAACCCTAACCAGAAAAAATAATTCAAACCATTTTATGATAAAGAATGACATAGAAAAATCAGTTTGTCCGTATGATAACTCAGTTATCCATTGAGTAAAAAACAAAACCTTGTGTTTCGAAATTCCATACTGAATCCAGAACAAAGCTGCTACCTGGACGTGGTGGTCGGGCTTGCCTTTCGTGATGATCCAACCGAGCTATAATGGCTGGAAGGTTCTACCATGCCAGGCAGGCCGATTAGAGAACGATGAGACTAAAAGCAGCTATTCAAGGTCTAAGGGCGAAGTCGTATTGCTGACTGCAGAGGGGTGTGACAGCAGTAAGGTGTTTCCCTCGGACAACCAACATCTGCAGCGATGCTGCCTTCTCACAATGAAGGAAGGGTTAGAAAAGGTCGACCCTAAAAATGTCACCCCTCACTCTACTTCACGGATTTCCGTCTCCTTGGGTAAGGGTGCCCACTAAGGGCGTTTAAGAGCAGAGCTTATACTCAAAAAACTTCTCATAAAAAGGCTGTGCGTGACCGGCCTCAAGCAGTTGTCCCTTGGGCTCTGCGGTCACGCTCCCAGGTCGTTAAGACCAACACTAATCTACCTTCTTTTTCATGTCCCTCAAGAAATAACCTTCTACGGTGTGGGCAGCCTGGAAGTGAAAACCGCCCTCATACCCGTGACAGTACAAGAGACCGAATCCATATATATATATATATATATATATATATATATATATATATCACTTATTGAGATTTAGCTATATCTCGAGCTAAATAGCTAACAAGATGAAGTGTACATCTTGTATTCCTCGATTAGCTACTACAAAGAATTCAATTAACCGTTCATTCTTTTGATAATCTTTCTCACTGTTTACTGTGCAAATCAACTGCGACCGATGTGTATTCACTTAACGCTTCAATAATATTTCTTTCTTAATTGTTGTAAGTACCCGTTTTCTTCTCCGGCTAAATGCTTAACATATCGAATTTCATCTTGTTATCATACAGTGATTTTCATTTGTCTTTCATATTCAACTTCTGAATCGCATAACTTCTCCATTCTGTGTATGTTTGTTTTTAAAAGAATTTGGTTTTTTTTTAAATCAAGCTCATTGTGGTTCGCTGTTTAATCGAAATCACCAAAATTAATGACTATCAATATTGACTTATGGTTTACTTTATGTGCTTACCATTGTAGATCACCGTCAAAGTGAATATATATTAAACTTCTTAAAGAACTCTACTCCTCTCAGCTGTTATACACTTTTATGGTAAGTTTTAATGCTGGAAATGTTATTTTCAAGATGATATATGAAATAAGCCAGAAAATGTTCACAGTGTATAGGACAAAGTAAACTATTATATACGTGTTTCTCCAGTATCCTAAGATAAGTAGACTTTAAATGTTTCGTGTTAAAAGTAGAATACTGTCGATCAAATAAACTTTGTTTGCTCTTTCACTCTTCAAAGTATTTTTTTCTTCAAAAACATTTCATGGTTATGTTATTTTATATTGATTATTAAATGTTTAAAATTCAAAATACTGTAGGGTTTGAAACATTTTAGATATAAGATTATTCAGTTCAATTGAAAGACTTATGAGGAGAGAGTTTTTTTGCTTTGTCGAAAATGTAATTCCTGTTCAGTAGCGTAGTATATTCATTTCTCATGTAGAAAATGAAAGTCCTTATATATATAGTTTTCCCTATCGTAAATATTTAATTATTTGCTAAAATGTCTATTCTTTTCTGGTTAACATTAAATAAAACCTTACTCTCCTTATTAATGATATATCAACAATCATTTTTCTATTCAGATAAAGTGTAAGTTCTGTATTATTGTATTAATAATTTTCATCAATTATTTAATATTTTTGAAATCATGAATCGATCAGTGTTAGACCACCATTAGAAACCTGGAAGCACTGGACGGCCGTTTCATCCTGGTATGGGACTCCTCAGCAGTGCGCATCCACGAAAGTTTACGTTTTAAAAATTATTGATTGTTTCAAACAATTTACAAAGAGATATCACTTTAATCGATTAATTATTTTATACCATTCTTTTTCTCGACAAGTTACTTATCTGAAAAAAAACAGATTAACTACAAATACAATTGTACAACTCAAGTAGCTTATGCAGTTTGAAGAACAGTTAGTCGACCCTGTTTGCAATCTACTTTGAAACCATGAATCGATCAAAATGTGTAACTTAACAACCTTCACAACCCCGTAATGCAAATTACCTGTGCTCACTAGTGACTAGCTTAGTGAGGAATGTTCTCCGAGTTCTAGTGGGAAGATGTGACCAGTGAAGTTCAACCTGTTCGGGCGTAGACAGTAACTACCGAAGACTGTGTATGATGTTGCGCAACTCTGTGAATCGATCAAGTTAGACATTAACACCGTTAGATACCGGCTCAGTGGTCCGATGGTCAAGCGTTCGCCTACAATACCGAAGGTCCTGGGTTCCAATCCTGCGGGGTGCAGAAGTCGTGGATGCGCACAGCTGAGGAGTCCCATACCAGGACGAAACGGCCGTCCAGTGCTTCCAGGTTTCTAATGGTATTCTAACATTGATCGATTCATGGTTTCAAAAATGTGTAACTTAACAATCTTCACAACCCCGTAATGCAAATTTATTTAATATTTCAAATGTCTTGTTTGCATTTCACAAAGTTGGGGTCACTAGCTTCTCAAATTGAATTATTCAAATGAACTAAACAACTTTATTTGAATATAAGGAAAAATAGGAATGATTAATCATAAAATTGATTTGTATTTCCTGTTAAGATGTTTTTTTTCACTAGTTACCTTTTCTTTTGATGGTTAGAAAAATCCTTTCTTTAGCGCAATGATATTATAACCTTGTCAGTTTGCCTATTTGTCTTTTTAACTTTTTATATTCTAATAAAGGCAACTCTGTACTTTGGATTCTAATTGGCCAATCGATTCATATTCTGTCATAGAGTTCCTTTTTGATCCGGTAAGTATTGATCATTGATCCAATTTTTTCAGTGTGTTTGTTTCGTTTATTCATCTATCTCATTACTTCAAATTATAGGATTTAATCAAAACTAATGTTATTTGTCTTATTGCAACTAGATAATAATCAGGATGTTTTTTTGCTTTAAATGATAATATAACTGAGTCTAAACATAAAATTATGATATCTCTGACATAGTGATCAAGTTAAAACTGCAGATTTGCTAAAAATTTATAGTAACACTGTAATTTATCTTGTTCGGAAACGACTATTACTTTCTAGTAATCTCTAAATGCTTTTTATATAATCTATAGAGCTGTTTATCATTACTGAGTAGTCTACTAGTGTAACTCTTTTTTCGTTGGATATAAGTAGTAATAATTAGCATTGTCGGTCGACAAGGAAATGCTATTTACAAGTGTTCGTCTAAGCTTTGCAATCACACTAAATCCCTCAATAGTGTTTAGAAATAAATTTTCATGAGAAATAATTAATATCTCAAGGCTGAGAACACTCGACACAACTCAATACTAGAACTGTAAGTGAAAATAATGACCAGAGAGTGTGTACACAACGGCTGATGTTCATCGTTATTAATAGTTATTTTATTGAAATCGAACTGATCAAAGTTAGACCACCCTTCAAGTCTGACCCAGTGGAAAAGAGGTTACCTATTTGCATGCGAAACTAAAGGTCCTATGTTCAATCCCCATATGCGAGATCGTCAGTGCTCACTGGTGATGAGTACCATACTAGAATGTAATGGCCTTCCACTGCTTGTATGCTTTCAAAGATGTTCTTACATCGATCGGTTCATGAATTCGGTGAAACTCGGCAATCCACACAACTCTACTCTGACAATCATTGCTTTTCCAAGAAGGATTTGTATGTTCATTAAACGAAGAAATCATCGAAATATCAATCTATAGCATCCCACATACATTTGTGTTTGTTTACGTCTAATTTTGGTGAAGCTCTTTTGTTAACTGATGTAACAGATAGCTTCATGTGAAAAGCGATAACTTGTACTCTATACCTCTGTACATTTATTATTATCACTTTGTATGATCACGTATAATTGAGCACTGGTTCCAGTCTACGCATTTAGATTCATTCTATTGTGTTCAATGATAGTCACTTAAATAATTTAGTGACTCATTCCTCTTCCCACACACTTTGATCATCAATAATGGTCCTTAAGATAATAATAATAATAATAATAATAATAGTAATAATAATAATAATAATAGTAATAGTAATAATAATAATAATAAGCATATTACATCAGGGATCAAATATTCACTACTGGGTAATTGTTAAATGATGTTTTTCTTGATCGATAATGAATTGTTATGCATTACTCACCATTCATTATTTGTTCTCTGTCTGTCTTCATTCAGTTAAGAACTAACTGATCGTCTAACTAAATCACTTTCTATACAATAGGATTAAAGAAAGGTTTTGCTTATTTTACATTCAACAGATACTTTCTAATACAGGACACCAGTTTTAGTTTTGTTTTTTGTTATGTTTCCAAAAATACCGTCTCCAAAATGTTATGTTCGTCACTAAGTATGCTTGAGGCTATTACGAGTTTACCAGCGTCCAGGTAGGCTACCTTGAATCCCAAGCTGAAGTAAAAAGGCTTTGTAAGCGTAGAAAGTATATTCTACAAACACCCAGCAATCACAGTACAATCAAGCATACAACTCTCGCTTATTTATCCATCATTGAAACGTCCTTGGGACAGTTACGAAAATAGCACACTAAAATACACAGCAGCCAATCACAGCTATGGATTTTGCTGGTGGGAAATGAAATCTCAAAGTCAACTGATTAGCCCATGCTGGCAAACGTGAAAACCATTATAAGGCATTTATCAAGCGAGTTATAGGGATCTAACATCCCCAACATTTTCAATATTTTTTTTTCATTCATCTTTTTTCTCAGAGTTTATCCCATGTATCATCAACGCCAGATTTATCTCTCAATCAATTGTTCATGGTTGTTGTGAGTAAATTTTACAATGATACTCAAAAAGATATAATCAATTTGCGGAAATCAATAAAATTCACAAATATGATTATTAAATTTTTACGGAATTATACAACTTATTACGTAAGTCGTTATTACGTAATCCTTTAATTTTCATTGAGAATAATTAAGCGGGGTGATTTTTATGTCAAGTTTCAATGATTATTATTATTTTGTTTTCATTGTCATTACTGTTTACATTTACTTGGCTATTAAAGATGAGATTGTATATTAGATGTTAACAACCAGAAGTAAAAAACAGAGTCAACTTTAATGTGTTGATTTTTACTGTTTTACAAAGTAACTGATTGTTTCCAATATTATGTATATTAAACCGTTAGTAACTTCATAGTTAGCCAAGCATATTTTTGGCAAGTAGTGTTTGAAAGTAGTTGTTAAAAATAAAGTTCTCCACAGACTAAGAGAAAAGTAGTCAATCTTGCTAAATAATAAACAGCTATATTGTGTTTACATATATAGTAGTTGTTGGATACCGACTAGTCAAGATATACTCTTTGTTGTTATCCAGTGATAGATTGTTAGAATTTAGTATAGTTTAGCTCATATACATATATTCAAATCACTCAGTAAATAAATATAGCTTAAATACACAACAGATTTAACATTCAATGACTTTAATATGTGAAGTATTCTTCAAAATAATAAATAAAATCATTTCATGTCACAAGTTTCATTTTTTTTCTCACAATTTAATATCATCATTTAATGTCTATTATATGCGCTTCTAAGCTCTCTTTTTTCTTCTTGTGAATATATTGACAATTCGATTTTTTTTACAGCCATTATCTCAATGCCCAGAGGAATCACAACTTTTGTTAAAACAATTGGCAAATGAAAATTCTACTTTTCTACGAAATACATTGAAAAATTTGATTTGTTCATGAACTAATTTTTGTTTTTTTTATATCAAGAATTTTTGTACTATTATAAAATGAAAAAGTTGTAGCGAAATAAACATTCTCATTGAGTTTTTTGTCTTCTCTCTCACTCTTACTCTTAAAATAATGACAATATTATTATTATTATTATTATTATTATTATTATTATTATTGTTACTCTATTCGATCCTGTTTCTTTTTAGGTATTCAATATTTCTACTCGGAACAATGAATATTGGTGATAAATTTATTACGAAATTATTAGATGTGAAATTACGAAAAGAAGATGTGTACAGGCAAGATTATTTCTTATCTATCTATGCATATATATATATATATATATATATATATATATATATATATATATATACTATTTTAGAGAAAGATATCAAATATAGTTTAATTTCAGTGTGATGTTCATGGCATGCTTACAATTACATATAAATATACAACAATTACTTACTACTAATAATAATAATATATGCTACTGTAATAAAAAAAGACGATTAAGACAAGATGGAATATTTAGTGTATTCTAGGGAGGACAGTTTATGAACAAGATGTAGCACACCTTATCTCCAAACTTTCATTGACAAAACAAGCAGATTATTAGCAGTTTTGTTTCATGTATCTTCTGGGTTTTTTTTAAGATACTATGATCGCGCCATCCATTCGGATCCAACACTTTTTTCCGGTAGTACTCTCTGTTGCAAACTAGTTAGAACCCATATTGAGTATAGTATCCACCACTATCTAACCTATTGATCGAGACAACGCTGTAGATATTTTGGGGTTTTTTATGTAAGAAAATACAGGTTAAAAAATATATATATATATATGTTGAACATGAGAGAGAAAATTTGAATTGCACATTTTTCTCTACCTACCTGATTTATTCAAGTAGTCTTTGCAAGCAGTAAATGTTTAGTGTATTGTGCAGGAACACTTTCTGTGTAAAGCAATCTGTTTTAGGAAATTTATTTTTGTCAGCAAGTTGTACTTCCTATCTCGAACACTTAATGCAGTTAAAATAATTAATGAATGAGGCTTTAAGTAGTCGTTTAAATATATAAATAACTATACGCATACCTACTGCCTTGACGAGCCATGATGCAGAGGGATAGGCTAGAAAGAAGGTAGAGGCGGCCAAACCAACACGTGTCACAAATCCATGGAATCACTGACAACTGAACTGGGCCGTGCTAATAGGTGTAGACTACTTGTTTCGGGTCTATGAGATAATGGTGACCGGTTGTTAGAGACTGAATGGCATGGATCAAATTCGTTTGCAATGACGGATATGCACCCATTCTTTATGTTCTCTGAGATTCTAATCTTCTGAATTCCTCATCTTCTCTGTCTTTCTCCTTTTAAATTGATCCCACTGGAATATCTTCTCGAATCATATCTTCTATCCTAAATCTTTTTGATTACCGCTATAGGATTTGATTTATTAATCTGATCCCGCTGTACTAATGATAACTTGAATTAATATTCGTACATACGAAGTTCTATATTTCAGCTGACTGACGTAAATATATGCATACATAGAGTGTTTTATATTTCGAAAAACAGAATAGGATTTCAACCCATAATTGATCTGTCTTAAATATTATTTTTATATGTTATTTACGCGAGGTTAATGAAGTTTATTAAAAATGCAGTTCATATCACTTCATAAGTATTTATTGTTCATAAAATACTTTATAAAAATTCGGAATTGTGTAAACTCCTTAAAAAATAAGTCACTGCACTGAAATAAATCTACACATTAATCTAGTTCATATTTTATGTATCTAAACAATATTTATTAGGTCTTCAAAACACTAATGATTAATTATTTTTATTTTGATCGAAAGATTGTGTAAAACAGTAAATATGTAAAAATGTAACAATCACTCTCTCATGAATAATAATAATAATAATGTTATTCAATTATCTTAATAGACTGATTAGTGTTATTGTTTGTCTACTGCTTAAAATGGGCAACTTACAAAAAAAACTATCACGTAGCGTTAATTTTTAAAAATTCATCTCTGTTTTTTTTCTCATGCATGCATTGATACATTCAGTTTTTGAATGATCAGTTCACTCAAAGTTTACAATCATATTTCTGAAATTGTTTGACTGTAATATTTCTCTATGTAACAATCATTTGGATTGTTTAATTCAAAACAGATAGATCATGTTCGTAGGCTGAGAATAGTTAAACCACTTGTATATAGAGATAGATCAGTACCGCAGGTTGGAGTAAAATGTGTTTTATAAAAGCATTGATTTCAAAATTCAGTATTTTCAATAATATCCTTATTGCCTATAGAGTCTGTCCGTCAGCAGTTATAAAAGAGCTCACGATTAACGTGCAACTTTGTGAATTTCAGTAAAATAAAAGTAATTTCTTGCAATATTGTTTTTAATTAGTTATATACATTCTTTTGTTCAGTAAAAAGATTACGACATATATGTGTTTATTATCTTCAATCGTATGATATTTTATCTACTAAGAAAAAAAATTAGGTTTGTAGTTCATTTTGTTATCTGCAATATTCTATACTTTCTTTTTATGGTAAAAAAAACTTCATATTCAAATCGTAGTCTTGCATGTTTTTGTTTTGAAAGTGGTGAACGTGTATTCTCACCTAATCCACGAACTATATACGGTGGTGAGCTAATGGCTCAAGCTTTAATGGCTGCTAGTAAAACTGTTTCAAAAGATTTCAGACCGAATAGCTTACATTGTTATTTTCATGATCGATGTAAGTTTTAAATGATGTATTTATTTTATGAAAATGTATTGTAGGTCAATTTTAAATCATCTTATATTATTTCATAACATCATTAATGGTAACCACTTTTAAATAATTTTATGGAATTACAAGTCTTTTACTGTTCATACAATTCAGAAAGCAATTGACAATAGGGTTTCATTAGTTTACACTTCACATATCCATAGTACATTGTTGACATCATTTGCATTTGTCATAAATTTATCAACGCTTTATATTCAGAAAAGATCACCTTTGTATTTGCTGGTTGAAATAATAAAAGAATGATGTTTCCGAATGTCAGTGAATATTATTTTACGCCCGTACTGTAGTGAAGGAGAACACAGGTGAGGGCAACCGAATTGTATTTTAACGAAAATTACAGAGTTACTCAGTAACATAGGAAAACCATATCGTAAATCGTTAATTTGCAAAATATCAATCCATCATATCGAACTGGACTGTTCCTGTTGCAAACATCTATCTATTGTCTGACATTTCACTGTTCATGCGTTTCATACAAATTCCATTGTGTTCCCATTCTTCCTTTCTAGATCTTCCCCCATCTTCTGCTGCCAGACATTACGTTTACACTCACGTCATATACTACTTATAAGTAGCGCGCACCACAGTACTATGATTGATTAACATTCATTAACTAGATTTTCATGGAATATAACTTCTAGTAATGTATTATGTAGAAATTTTAATTGTTTCACTCCTTGATCATTTATTATTATTATTTATCGTAATCAGACAAACCTTTAGTTATCTGCTCTTTACTATTTGATGTAGCATTTGGGTTAAAATCTTTGTTACTTGGTTGAAATGTGTGTTAATGATGAAGGCATATTGTCGTTTCTCTCACCATAATGTTAAATGTATTTTATTTCACGAATGCTTTTGCTGTCATGACGTCCCAATGTTTTAGTACCTATACTGCGTTGATCATAAAACTACTTTATCCCCTCTAAGATTATTGTTGGTCTAAAGCCTAAATGAGGAGGGTTAAACTTAAGGTTTTCAACTTTATCACGTTTAAAACAATCTTGCTAAATAAGCGCTGATTAGGTTAGATCATTTATGCCATTTAAACTCTCCTCTGGAAGTTGGAGGGAGATGTAGCGAACGAAAAACATATCAATACCGTAATAGTGATCAAGTTAACACAAAAGAAATATAGAGTAATGGATAATATTCAAAAATATAAATACATATACAAAAATATGGAGCGTTAGATAGATTATCAACAGAAAACATGCTCGAGTTCTATACTTGTAATCCACGATTATACGAAGTAATCAATAATGCCAAATACGATATATATGTATATGTAATCCAAGATAATGTATTGCAAGAATAGTGTAGTCGATTTGATCTATAACTGTGAATGATATTTATATTAGAGATCTGTCAACGTGGCAACTGATTAAGTGAGAACGAAGAGTATATTGGCAGCGGTGTATTTGTGAGGGGTAGTTAGTATAGCATACAAGTAGTGAACGAAACATTAACGAAAGGTCGAAGTTGAAATGAACTAGCGAATTTACAGTCAATAACAGTAAAATTATTGAAAATGTGAATAATGACAGAAGAGTAGCTTCGGGAGAGGTGCTGCTGCATCCTGGTCATGAAAAAGAAAATACCTCACATATGAGGAGTCACACTGATGCTGTAGACGCCTAACTTTGTGACCAACAAGCTGGATTTCGTAAGGATCTATTGTTTATCGACCAATGTACAACATCAGGGATCATTATTAAATAATTAATTTAACTGAACTCATCACTGTACATTAACTTCTTTAATTACCAAAAGACATTTGACAGTGTTGACACGAAAACATGATGGAGCCTTCTTCGACACACCACAGTGTGCTTAAGAAGATAGTCAACATTATACGGAATTCTTACGACGAACTCCGCTACAAAGTTTTTCATGGAGGACAACTCACAGATGCTTATTCCAAATGAAGAAGGGTGTCAGATGAGACTGCTTACCATCGCCCTTTCGTATTATTCTGTTGATTGACGACTAGATTTTGGAAACCTTCATATCTCTAGAGAAGCACAGACTACGGCAGACAGGTTTGATGCAGATAGACGACTTAGACTTCGCAGATGACAGAGACCTTTTATCTCATAAACAGCAACAAATGAGAACAAAGACGACCAGTGTAGCATCAACAGCCTCTGCGACAGAAGTCATCAACGTACTCCGACGAAAAAAACGAAATCCTGAAATACAACACGGCGAGCTCCAACCAGTTCACACTGGATAAAGAAGTTGTGAAAAATGTGGGAATTTTTACTTATCTGATCAGCACCATTGATAAGCAGGTGGGATCTGACCCAAATCTGAAGATACAGTTTTGAAAAGCGGAGGGAACATTCCCACAATTGAATAATATTTTGAACTCAAAACAGCTGTTAGTTAATACCAAAGTTAAAATTTTTAATTCATACACTGAGACAGTTCTATCTCATGGAATGGAAGCTTAGCGAACTACCAAAACTATCATTCAGAAGATACAGGTATTTATAAACAGGTATCTATTCAAAATACTCTATATTCAGTCATTAGATACCATAAGCAGTAAACGGTCGTCGAAGAGATGGGCTTTTAGCCGTATAGGGAATCAAGAAAAGACAGTTCATATAAGTATGTACAAAAATCGCCAAATTACATCCTACGCAAGCCCTGATGTGATAATCAAGAGTATTTGTATTCCATACATGAACGAGTAATACCCGACTCTTACTCTATTAGTCATGTATGGACCAGAACTAAACTCAGGAAGAACTATGTGAGCACAAACGAAAGTATAGTAATTCGAATTTCCATTTAACATAAGAGTACACTAAACGACTATAGAAACTATATGATCAGTCTGTAATTATCTCCTAATAATATAAATCATCTTAGTTAACATGAATTAGCATAGATTTTTCAATATCTTTTAATACGAACTAAATGTACGGTAGATTTTCATTTATTTTAACCATATCTAATGGACATAATGACGAGGAGAGTGGAGACTATTGATAAAATTGTCAATGGAGTCTTTTTCTTTAACTTCGTATGCTTAAATTTTTGTCGGTTGATATTAAACAGAGAGACAAGTGAATTGTAACAAATTTAATAAACTAACTTCTAAGAGTGTGTAACTTTTACAATCAACTTTCAGTAACAATTTTAACTTATATTTCTTTTTGCTCATTATTATTACTTATTAACTTTTCTGAGGAGAAGCATATTCAAAATGTTGATTAGAATATCAGCTAATTGATAAATTCGTAAAACTATAGTTATGCTTTGAGCTACTTATTGATTTTTTTTTATCCTTTAATTCGTACCTTTAGTTGTATATAGTGTAGTAAATAAAAGTTCAAGGTATGACACCATTTATTGATGTTGCTTTCAACCATCTCTAATGTAGGTCTGTGGTTACGAGTTAGGACTCATAAACTATTAAGAAAATCAGTGCTTAAAGGATATCATATAGATATCATCTTTCAAACGTAATCAGGAGATAGTTGGATATTTCTTTTGTACTTGATTATCAAATCTGTAACCAAATTTTTCTTATATGATTTTATTTTCTTGTTTGATTTATTTTGAAATTCTTCTGAATGTGTTCTTGTCATATGCCACATTCGGAACTGAATTTCTCATGTTCTGCTTTTTCCTCTTTCTGATCGACTTCATCTGTTTGTTTTTTCCAGCAAATGTATTGGAACCAAATGATTATCATGTTACAAAACTTCGTGATGGACGTTCATTTTGTCATAGATTAGTTGAAGCATTTCCAGCAAATAAAAGTGCATCTGATTCAATTACTCCATATTTTCGTATGGATTGTTCATTTAAAACACCAGAAAAAGATCCTGCATCGTTTTTATCTTCCATGCCTAATGTTCCATCGGTCGATAAACTTCAAGATTTTAATTCATATGTAAAATCACTTGATTCGTAAGTTTGATATTATTGTGAAAGAAGTTTCGTGATATTGCCATACAAATATTATTTTCTACTGACTTACATATAAGTGACTGTTTAAATTTAGTCAATTTCAGTAGTAGATCACGTAAGGACTGTTTTTTTTTCAGCCGAACTTAAACGTTCAATTAGTAGTTATTTTTGATTAATTTTTTCCCAAACTATCAGATGATATGATAATCATAGAGTCTTAGCCCACTAAAACTTCCTAGCAAATAGGTTATATTCATCTGTTGAAAATTAAATAATTATCCTGTCTACTCTTCTCTACTTCTAATTGACTAACTGTTTTTCAGACTGCATAAGCTACTTAAGTTGTACAATTGTATTTTTTTTGAAACCATGAATCGATCAATGTTAGAATACCATTAGAAACCTGGAAGCACTGGAAGGCCGTTTTGTCCTGGTATGGGACTCCTCAGCTGTGCGCATCCACGACTTCTGCACCCTGCAGGATTGGAACCCAGGACCTTCGGTATTGTAGGCGAACGCTTGACCATCGGACCACTGAGCCGGTATCTAACGGTGTTAATGTCTAACTTGATCGATTCACAGAGTAGCGCAACATCATACACAGTCTTCGGTAGTTACTGTCTACACCGGAACAGGTTGAACTTCACTGGTCACATCTTCCCACTAGAACTCGGAGAAGATTCCTCACTAAGCTAGTCACTAGTGAGCACAGGTAATTTGCATTACGGGGTTGTGAAGGTTGTTAAGTTACACATTTTGATCGATTCATGGTTTCAAAGTAGATTGCAAACAGGGTCGACTAACTGTTCTTCAAACTGCATAAGCTACTTGAGTTGTACAATTGTATTTGTAGTTAATCTGTTTTTTTTCAGATAAGTAACTTGTCGAGAAAAAGAATGGTATAAAATAATTAATCGATTAAAGTGATATCTCTTTGTAAATTGTTTGAAACAATCAATAATTTTTAAAACGTAAACTTTTGAGATCTCTAAGAAAAACATTCTAATGTACCCAACTTCATTTCGTCTTCCGCAGTCAACCTTTTATGATGATGAACAAGTTGCCTCTAGGAACTAAATCAGTTGTACATTTATCACTTTACTTGTTCATCTGTAGCAGATTACATAAGCCATAAAAGGGGGCTCGTTTCGAGACGCATCTCTGAACATTATTCTGCTCTGCTATCTAATGGACTGTAAAATCCAGTCAAATGCTCGAATCTTGAAACATCTAGTTTATTCTGGTCACTTTTGCTTTTCCAGAAGTTTTGAGCAAAATCATTCATACAGTTAGTAAAATCAGTTCAAAAGGAATGAATACATGGAAATTTTATGTACAGCAAGGGCCATTAATTCAAATCTAACCTTTATATAAAACAATATAGTTATGTTTTCGATTCTTTCATTTTACCATAATCTTATCTTTCCTTTTACTCTTTTGTAACTATTTTCCACAACTAATTAATTAGCCATTACTTTGATTTTTGACTATTCTGTTTATTTTTTTAGTATCGATCAAGTAAAAAAACACTTATCTTCACTTTATTATTTTTCATAACTTTCATTTAATATCAGATTTTTTTTTTAAACTATAATATCTATGACACAAGATGATCATTTCAGTCATTCTATACCATTCCTTTTTCTCTACAGATTACTATTTTTAGCCAATAAATTTTAACTTGAATACGCGATCTTATAAGTAGTATCAGTATGAAGATTGAATTTCATGGTTCCGAATAAATTGAGCCATTGATTAGAAAGTTAATAAATAAAACTAATTTTTTTAATTTTTTTTTTAATTTATTTCGGTTATTTATTTATTTATTTTACTTTGAAGAGTGTGATGTCCAAAAATACAAATTTCACTAAAATCTAATATAATTATACTATTTTATATAGAATTAATTGTACAACTTTTGGTAAGTGAAGTTGTCGAAAATGAAAATTGTTATATCACGGAATTGTCTTTATTTCTCTTTAGTTATACAATAGATGATCTCTTTCTTTATTTAAAAATTTAATTAATTCATTTCCATATTCCAATCAATCCTTTTCAATTATTTTTTTTTCATGACTTTATCAATATGTATTTTTGATAGTTGGTGTTGGGTAAATTGAATAAAAATAAAATCGGAGATCTTAATAATGTTTATAATTGTTTGAAATGTTGAATTACTGATTCTTGATTCACCATAATTGATTGTGATTGAAACGATCAGTTTTTCTTTGTTTTTCAATCAGTAAAATTAATTATTGATCATTAGGAATTCTTTTAAGCTAGGCTCATTAATTCCTACAGATGTTTACATAACACTATGTCTTCCGGTTATGGATATTCGCTAGAAATATTTACTGACATTACCTAATTACTTATGCTTGTTACCCTCAATGGAGTATAGGCCGCAGACCAGCATTCTCTAACCTATTATCTCCTGGATCTTTTTTTCCAATTATGTCTAATCAGTGTTCATTTTTCCCATGTCTGTCTTTGATTCTTGACTTAATGTGTTCTTTGCCCTTCCGTTTTTTCTTTGGCCTTAAGGATTCCAAGTGATGTCTTGTCTTGTAACGCAGTTTGGTCACAAGACAAGCTCTCATTGAATATTCATATGTGCATTTTATTCCTCTATCTATCATTGAGCGATGTTAAGAGTTGAGGGAATTTTCGTTTGATTCATTTATAATATTAATGATCGAAATTCATTCATCAACTTGTGAATTATGATTGGATACGAACCATGTTATAATGATATTTTTTGACTGTATTCAAAAATTTATATTCCAAAAATTTATTCCCTCTATGTCCATAGTTTCCAATATAGTTTACATGTCGGTATAATGGTGTTCGTTTTTTCCACATTGTACATCCACATAGAGTAATAGGAACCAGCGGCAGTTAATGTTCAGAAGTGATTTAATATCAAACTCTAAACGATATCATTTTTTGCATAGTACCCAGTCAACTTACTCTTTGAGTTACAAACATGAATATACTTGAAAACAAAACATTTGACAATACGGTTGTATCTACTTCACTCTGGTGTCACTAACCTTGGCAAAACATCTACTACTAATGCCCGTGGTATCAGACTATTAAAAATGTGTCACAGGAATTGTTTTTATTCGAAATCCAGTTTCATTGGTATACTCCAACCAGTTATCAATTATAGACAACATAGGAACTGGCATGATGTCTATCGATCCGACTTATCATAACTTACGTCATCACACCTAGAAGGATTTATACAGCGATAGGAGAAATGATAATAATTGGAATCAGAAATTAGACATTTATTTATAGTTTAGAAGAAAATATTCGATAAGATAAAGACTATTTTAATCTCATCATTAAAAGCTGAATAATTCTGCGTTTTCTATTTATAAAAATTATTGTTTTAAATCCATTTAATTTGTCGGAACTTTTGTTGTTGCTTCCATACTGAACTTGTCTCAACATCCTTGTTCTGATGTCCACCTGATGCTATGCAATAAATGTTACTTACGAATGCGTTTTTCTTTTTATGAAGACTTATGTATTTTTTTACTTGATTCGAAAATACAAATTCGTTTCAGTGTCACTGATGAGATTTTCTAACAAGTTGATTGATTCATTTTGTTTTAATAGTGACAACTTGCCAAATGTACCACGAACTCGGGTACTACAATATCAAAGTTTCAATGCTAATTCACCTTTTGAAACGGTGTTTTGTGAACCTGAATATGTTCTTGGTCTTAAATCAAATGTTGGTGGACAGCTACACTCTTGGATCCGTTTAAAGGAACCACCATGTAAGGTTTTAAAATCTATTAGGTTATAATTTGTTATTTTGGCTTATCATTTTCAATGCCTACAAAATATTTTCGCTTCTGGTGATCGACTGGATTACGAAGACGTCAGCATCTGGAGGGGAAGCACAGTATTCATTGGACAGCTAGGACGCAGCTGGACGAACTGGCTCTACTATCGCACACGCGACAACAAATGCAAGAGAAGATGACCAGTGTAGCAGCAGCCTCTGCAGCAGCATGTCTCAACTTGCATAAAGGAAAAAGCGAAATTCTCCGATGCAACACAACATGCGCCAAACAAATCACTCTTGATGGACACGCCTTGGAGGACGTTAACACCTCTACACATCTAGGCAGCAACATCGACAATCAAGGTGGTTACGATGCAGATGTGAGGGCGCAGATCGGCAAAGCAAGGGCTACATTTCTACAATTGAACAATATCTGGAACTCAAAACAATTATCAATCAACACCAAATTCAGAATTTTCAGTACAAATGTCAGCACAGTTCCACTGTATGGAGCTATTAAAGCCATCATCGAGAAGATACAAGTATTCATTAACAGTTGTCTACGCAATATACTTCGGATTTGTTGGCCAGACACGATCAGCACCAACGTACTGTGGGAGAGAACAAATCAGATTCCAGTGGAGGAGGAAATCAGGAAGAAGCGGTGGAAGTGGATAGGACACACACTACGAAAAGCACCTAACTGCGTCACAAGACAAGCCCTCACATGGAACCCTGAAGGTAAAAGGAAAAGAGAAAGGCCAAGGAACACATTACTTCGAGAAATAGAGAAAGATATGAGAAGAATAGACAAAAATTGGACAGAAGTGGAAAGGGAAGCCCAGGATAGAGTTGGTTGGCGGTCTATGCTCCATTGGGGGTATGTATAGAGTATGGGATATGTATATAGAACTATAATATCGCTGGGAAAAAATAAACTAGTCAATTGTTCTCCCGTATGCCTATTGAAGTCAAAAAAATATGTGTTCGCTACATCCGTCTTCAAGAACTTCACTAAAGTTTGAAATCAACCTACAGCTAGCGTCAGTATGGTTCTTTAAGCCGTATAAGAGGACAAAAAACACCAGAAAATCAATCAACAAACACATCGACATTGACCCAATTTATCAACCAATCAAGAAACATCTCAAAAGGGGGATACAATCAAAACAAAGGTGCAAACAACGACAGGTTTAAGGTCAACAACAACCCATTAAGATCGAGGTTAGCAGAACATGCTACAGGTCAAACGTGGAGAAATTCGAATACTTCACTTTTATCTGAAGTTTGTGCTGATGATGTTGTTCAGAAGAACAATGAAAGCTCCACAACCAAAACATCTAGCTCAGAGAATTAAACACCATCACAAGCCTTATGTCATCTGGTCTCCATCCTATCACTCTTGCAATTTATTCAGATTTTTCTTTTTAACTGGCAATACTACAGTTCGTAATATGAAGGTAACATCTAGTTATACAAATAAGAATTTCCTTTCAATATCGGGTTGAACCGATTTATCCATATTAAGTTTTCATACGATTTTCTACTGTTTTTTATTTGAGTTATGTTATATTTACTCTGCATGTTAAGTGGGCAAATGAAAATTTTAAATACACTTCTTAGTTGTTTGGTAGCAAATCACTCTCAGAAATAATATTGTTCTACTTGTTTATGATTCGAAGAACGTCAGAGGGATTATCTTAGTGTGCTGTATTATTAATAAGATGAGTAGGTAGTTCAATGTATGGCTGAATTCCCTTCAGTTTTTGACATGTTCTGACTTAACTTTTAATGCTTGCCCATATCCTATTAAGAAGCGTTGGCAAGCACATACTAACATATTGGGGTTTATGTGATTGGCCCAGAAATACTATTACTTTAAAAAAATCACTTATTTGTTTTCCCTTTCTTTTTGTAGCTGTCTCCCTACATTCCTATCGTGATGCTTTCTTAGCATATCTTTCGGATGCTCTTTTATTATGGGTTGCTCTTACTGAACCACATCATGTTTCATACTTGGTCACCCTAAATCAAAGCATATGGTTTCACAATCCCGAAGTTGACATTAAACCGGATGAATGGATTTTGTTTGGAACACGTGCAAATTACGTAGGTGCGTCAACTTACTATAGCTGACCAGTATTTTAAATGTTAGTTTATGCAGAAATGAATATTTCTTTTTGGTCTATTTTAATAAAGCTGTTTTTGAGATCATTTTCAGTGACGATATTGCAATTCAACGAGATATTGTGTAGTAAAATACTATAGTTGAATTATATTTTAATTAGACAGCTGTTCATGTGACATAGTTTCAACTACAACACATTATCGTGGATCAGTTGTAAATTTTGCTACGAAACCACCTGGAATTTCGACTGATTATCATAATCATTCTAGATTTTGCTGTTTCCATCGATGTTTAGTGTCGTCTCATAAACATAGAGGCTGAGTTGATTTTGTTCAACTGCCAATGTTCTATATCACCTGATTAGAAAATAAATTTTGTATCTTGGAAGTTATGTGAGCTACAGTCCGGTCATTTATAAGAGTAATAAAATATGTGAGAAACTGTAACTCAAGTGTATGAATTCTTTACCTATGTAAAGAATTACTTAGCTGACACTATCAGCACTACCTAATCATGAATAGCGATTTGAAGTGTTTGAACCGTACTGAAGTATGTAGAACCTTCAACAATTTATATCTATTAGAGACTCTGTAGTTCACTCAACTTTATTTGTTAAAAAAAATTACTGGGTCTTTTAAGTTTCATAAAACATTGTGTTAACTATTTTGCTAAACATTCACGATTACCCATCAAACCACCATTATTAAAATTTGACTTTTTATATGCAGGTGGTGCTTTAACACTTTCATACGGAGATATTTGGAACAAAGAAGGCTGTCTCCTTGCAAGCATGGCTCAACAAGGTTTGGTGAGAACTCAACAACTGCAACCAGTCTCATCCTACACATCCATGGCGGAATTGGCGAAACAAGCAGAAAAGTAATCTGATATTTAACTTTAGGAAAAATTCCACTATCCTTTTGTATCTGAATTTCTATCGTGAACAAATATATATCCACGTAAATTTCTTCAGCATATATAAATAAGTCTCTGAATCATAATGTTCTGGTTAAATCTTACTCTTTAATGTCATTGGCGCTGTGATTCTCTTATCACTTTGTCCCCCGTATTTTCCTCATATCTGTTGTGCATTGTTAAATTTACCGTTTTCTTTAGCATTTTCCCTGTGAAGGCTAACAAGCCTAACTATTTCAGTAGTAAAGTAACTTTTCTTCAGTTGGAAAAGTGATTGAAATCTTGTCAGCATTCAGTGCTTCTTTCAAACTTTCTGTTTACAGTTTTTACTAGGTTGAATTGAACAAGCAGTATCCTTCCTTATTGGATCACTCATTGTAAACTGAAGTTATAAATAAAGTTAACCTTACATCTAATTTTACACAGGTTCATTAAAATTAACGCTTACTTAATTAAACATATAAATGTTGATATAGGGGGGGGGACCACACAATAAAAATAAGACTGTGAATAGATAGGAAAAGGTGAGTATGATAAACTAGATGACAAAAATCAGTCGAACTTAGTATATGATCATAATCATAGCAGTGGAAGAAGCTGTTCAGTTACGAAAAATACAACCAGTAAGATTCTTTCAGTCAAAAGGTTCTCATTTAAATGGAGAAAGCAAAAGGAAATCACTAGCTTCTATACTAAGGCATGTCGGATAATGTTTCCAACCACTGAGTTACACCAGCTCTAGAACCATAAGTCAAGAAGTTATGAAGGACCAACAGATGCCAACACTGCCGATTTCTTCCATACCACAACGCACACTGACCAGCGCTCAGATCTTTCCAACTAGTCACAGCATTGGTAAATAATGCACGATGTGATGTTGTTACGCATGCACGTGAACCATTGCGAGTTCATTCTAGTCAGTGAACAAGAGCGAGGATCCGCCGACACGACATGCTACTCTAATCCGAGTGTCCCAAAACCCATTGGGTAAAAGCAGAAGACTTGATATGAAATAGAACATGACTCTACAAGCAGGTAACAGGTCCACACCACCACTATATACATTCATCAGAGCTGTCTACAGAACGTCATCGATAACAAAATTGGAGAGGAATGATGAGATTAGGCAACCCTGTCTAACGCCACCTGTTGAATAAAACAGTGGCCCGGTTTCATGCTTTCACTTTGCCTGAGGTGTTCGTATATGGAGCCTTCAGAATGTTAATAATTTCAGACACCTGTTCTCTATAGACAATCCTGTCCAACTAGTCGCAGGCGGTTCACGTGTCAAAAAACAACGATTATTTGCCAGTGACAAAGATATAGGTGCTCTAACATTTGGCGGAGGGTGAAGATATGATCAATAAATCCTTAACTAGGACGAAAACCAACCTGCTGCCAGTTGATGTTAGTTACAGTAGTAGAACTATCATACATTTACGCAATACTCTATCAAGCCAAGATATGTATGGTCTAACTGGTTGCTCGAAGCGAAGGGTGAAATCGGGTGGTAGTCAGAATCTAAGATTGGTGAGACACCATTTCGTCATATAGTAATGACGAACTACGAGCACCAATCGGCTACAACATAGAGTTGGTACGTACGTACATCACTCCAAGTTATCATAGCACAGGGAGATCGAGTGGTCAATTCGAATCCAAAAGTAGTAGAAGTATTAGCGGTAATTGATAAGATTAGATTACTCAAGCAGTATAATCCAGTCAAATAAATTTTGAAAAAAAGTTAATGAAGAGTTCGGTAGATTATGATTTTCACAGAAAGGATGAACCTGGGCCAACACAAACGACTTTGAGCCATGTCATTCAAGGTCTCTAACCATCGGTTACTACTGTCTGGAGGACCCCAACCTACCGACTTGCCTCAGCCCACTTTCCATTGAAGTCATAGATTTGTTTTGGCCGCCCCTAGCTCTATTCCAGCCTACTCCTACACTAGAAAAGTGTGAATATCTGGCCTATACATCCACGTCCAGGTCTGAAGCCAGCCAGGCTTTCTAGAGCGCTAGTTAGACGTCGAAGTATTGAAGATAATATCTTAGTTAAACAGATACCTCTGTGATTGTTACCTATTACTGCTACCTTTACCATCTCGCTTGCTTTCGCTAACCACCAATGTTCGCGATCATTGCGTAGGCTTCCCATCAGCCTGTGCTTAAGCGGACTCCAGCCTTCGTCATATTCAGAGCCAGATGGAAGAGCTTACGGGCATCTATCAGTTCGGTAGATGCTAGTGAGACCCACTGTTTCTCCCTAACATTGTGGTCTACCCTACCAGTAGATATCACTGTTGTTTCCACAGCTTCTCGAATATCGTTCCAAGATGCCTCGAGGTGGGGATCGCTTACATGACTGCCTAACTTTTCCTAGTTGCTCCTGAAATGCATTGGTAGCCTTGCTATAATTAAGTAGAACCCTAAGGGCTTTCTTTCCTACGTCCAGTAAGACTCAGACAAATACACCCATGTACTATTGCACCATATGAATCTAAACAAGTGCTCCAGAATGAGCGATAGTTTCATACTGAGCCTCTCAATCGGTGGCTGGTATTGATCTGATTCAGTTGGGTCGTGTTAGTGTGACTTTCGAAGTCGCCATGTTAAGAAATGTTCTTCCTTGTGCCTAAATTTAGTGTTTGCTAGAAATAGACGGTTATCTGAGCAAAGCTGTAGCAGACGTTCGCCAATATCTGTTCTATTAGCCACGACACTATAAGATCCACCCAGGTGTCTATCTTTTTTCGCTTAGTTTACCTACTTGAGCATTAGTCACCAGGGGCTATTACTACATCATAGGGCCTAACTTTTTGGAGAAGGTTGGAAACTTTCTGTAAAACTCATGTCTTACCTCGTTTAAGCTGCAGTCAGTGGGAGCGTAGACAAAGATAACGAAGAGGTGATGACTGGCGTTCCTATCTTTACGAGTGCTTACTGTCATGTTAAAACTCCGCCAGTAGAACCTTCAGGGCTACTGCCGGTCCCAAGCCCGGGTAAAGGAGGAGGGTTGGACATGGGGTTGGCGACCCCATTCCGTCAAAAACTAACTTGCCAAAAAACGCTAACCAGAAAAAATAATTCAAACCATTTTAACTCTGTCCTGGGAGTTGGAGGAAGAATTATGACGTCGCGTGATGAAAGCCGAGTTCCCTCGGAAGTCACGGGGCTGATGCCTCTTCTGACAACCAGAGCAACCATTTTTTAGGTACATGGAACGTTCGTACATTGTGGGAGACTGGAAGACTATTTCAAGTTGCGGCGGAAATGAAAAGATACAACCTCGAGGTGCTTGGAATCAGTGAAACGCATTGGACACATGTAGGACAACTGAGACTAGCTTCAGGGGAACTGCTGTTATACTCTGGTCACGAAAAGGAAAATGCTTCACATACACAAGGAGTTGCACTGATGCTGTCCAAACATGCACAAAAGGCTCTGGTAGGATGGGAATCTCATGGACGCAGGATCATTAAAGCATCCTTCAAAACAAAGAAACAGGACATTACAATGAACGTCATCCAATGTTATGCACCTACCAATGACTACAATGACGAAGTTAAAGATCAATTCTACGAAAGGCTGCAGTCAATCGTCGAGAAATGTTCACCAAAGGATTTGACGATTCTTATGGGAGATCTGAACGCCAAGGTTGGCATGGACAACACTGGATATGAAGACATCATGGGACGACATGGACTGGGAGAAAGAAACGAAAACGGTGAGAGATTTGCAAACCTATGTGCCTTCAACAACTGGTCATCGGTGGCACAATATTCCCGCACAAACGCATTCACAAAGCCACATGGATTTCACCGAACCACACTACTCAAAACCAAATTGACCATATCTGTATCAACAAAAAGTTCAGAAGGACCATGGAGGATGTGAGAACCAGGAAAGGAGCTGATATAGCCTCAGATCACCATTTGCTAATCACCAATATGAAACTGAAACTAAAGAAGCACTGGACAACGGGGCAGACAACATCACACAAGTTTAATACGGCCTTTCTTCGGGATACCGTAAAACTCAACGAATTCAAGATAGCCCTCACCAATAAGTTCCATGCCTTTCAGGAGCTACTCAATGGAGAGGAAGCAACATTGGAGAACAATTGGAAATGGATTAAGGAGGCAATCACTTCAACATGTCAGGAGGTCCTTGGTCGCAAGAAGCACCATCACAAGGAATGGATCTCTGTTGGTACTCTTGAAAAAATTCAAGAAAGGAGAAACAAGAAAGCAGCAGTGAATGTCAGCCGAACAAGAGCGGGAAAAGTTAAGGGGCAAGCCGAGTATACAGAAGCAAACAGGGAAGTGAAGAAGAGCATCAGAGCTGACAAACGAAAATATGTGGATGATCTAGCAATGACGGCGGAAAAGGCTGCAAGAGAAGGAAACATGAGACAATTGTACGAAACAACAAAGAAGCTCGCCGGGAACTATCGTAAACCAGAACGACCAGTGAAAAGCAAGGAAGGGAAAATAATCAGCAACACTGATGAACAGCGAAATAGGTGGGTGGAGCACTTTAAGGAACTATTGAATCGACCAGCTCCACTGAACACACCCAACATTGAAGCAGCATCCAAGGATCTCCCAATTAATATTGGCGCACCTACGATTGAGGAGATCTGTATGGCCATCAGACAAATCAAGAGCGGCAAAGCAGCAGGACCAGACAACATTCCAGCAGAGGCAATGAAAGCAGATATAGAAGCAACTGCGAAAATATTTTACATCATCTTCAAGAAGATTTGGGATGAGGAACAAGTACCATCAGATTGTAAAGAAGGATACCTCATCAAAATACCAAAGAAAGGCGATCTCAGCAAGTGTGAGAACTACAGAGGCATCACTCTTCTTTCAATACCAGGCAAAGTCTTCAACAGAGTATTGTTAAACAGAATGAAGGACTTCGTAGACGCCCAACTTCGAGATCAACATGCCGGATTTCGTAAGGATCGATCGTGTACTGACCAAATTGCTACATTACGGATCATTGTGGAACAATCAATTGAATGGAACTCACCACTCTACATCAACTTCATCGACTACGAGAAAGCATTCGATAGCGTGGATAGGAAAACACTGTGGAGGCTTCTTCGACACTACGGTGTGCCTGAGAAAATAGTCAACATCATACGAAATTCTTATGATGGATTCAACTGCAAAATCGTGCACGGAGGTCAGCTGACAGACTCTTTTGAGGTGAAGACCGGTGTCAGGCAAGGTTGCTTACTCTCACCCTTTCTCTTTCTCCTGGTCATCGACTGGATTATGAAGACGTCAACATCTGGAGGGAAGCACGGTATCAACTGGACAGTTAGGACGCAGCTGGACGACCTGGACTTCGCAGACGACCTGGCTCTTCTATCGCACACGCAACAACAAATGCAAGAGAAGACGACCAGTGTAGCAGCAGTAGGTCTCAACATACATAAAGGAAAAAGCGAAATTCTCCGATGCAACACAACATGCACCAACCGAATCACGCTTGATGGAGATACCTTGGAGGACGTTAACACCTTCACATATCTTGGCAGCATCATCGACGAGAAAGGTGGATCGGACGCAGATGTGAGGGCGCGGATTGGCAAAGCGAGGGCTGCATTTCTACAGTTGAAAAATATCTGGAACTCCAAACAACTTTCAAACAAAACCAAAATCAGGATTTTCAATACAAATGTGAAGACAGTTCTACTGTATGGAGTGGAAACATGGAGAACTACCAAAGCCATCATCCACAAGATACAAGTGTTTATTAACAGCTGTCTACGCAAAATACTTCGTATTCGTTGGCCAGACACCATTAGCAACAACGAACTGTGGGAGAGAACAAGTCAGATTCCAGTGGAGGAGGAAATCAGGAAGAGGCGGTGGAAGTGGATAGGACATACACTACGAAAAGCACCCAACTACGTCACTAGACAAGCCCTCACATGGAACCCTCAAGGCAAAAGGAAAAGAGGAAGGCCAAGGAACACACTACGCCGAGAAATAGAGAAAGATATGAGAGGAATGAACAAACATTGGACAGAACTGGAGAGGGAAGCCCAGGACAGAGTTGGTTGGAGAAAACTGGTGGGCGGCCTATGCTCCATTGGGGGTAACAGGCGTAAGTAAGTAAGTACTGTCATGTTAAGTTGGACAGCACATAAGCGACTGTTTATTGGGATGCAGGCTAAGAGAGCTAGTTCTGCCCTAGGACTTCACGCTATACCTACACCAGAGAGGCCGCGGGAAGCAGCAGTGGGGTTTCTATATAACACGCAGCGTCAACCGAGTCGGTTCTTTATCTGAACAGGGTTAAGTCGAATTAATTATTATACTCGGACCATGTATGTGCGCTTCAGAGACGCAGCATACATTGATGGCACGAGATTCCAGAGTCCCAGCTAAGGAAGCCTGCTGTCATATTTAGCACAACGCTCGAACATGTACAGTGTGGTTTCAGGGTAACAGGAACAACATTTCGTGTACTCAAATCGTTTGTGTCAGTGGCACTAGGTGATTCAGTGATGGAAGGAGATTTAGTCATGAAGGTAAGACGGTAAACAGATGTAGGGAGAATTTGATTGTGGCTGGTTTGGTCTCGTGTGCTGTTACGAGTATAAGGGCGGATGTCACTTCCCGGCCGCTCACATAATGAGACGCTGTTTCTTGAGGAACCTGAAAAGGAAGTTGGGTTAGTATTTGTATTAAAGACCTGGGAGCGTGACCACAGAGCCTAAGGGACAGTTGCTTTTGGTAGGTTACGCACAGCCTTTCATGGGTATATTTTGAGTTGTTAGCCCCGCTCTTCAAATGTCCTTACCGCCGGAGACGGAAATTTGTGAAGTAATGTGAGGTCTGACATCTTTAAGGTCGACCTTTTCTAACCCCTTCCTTATGAGAAGGCAGCATCGCTGCAGATGCTGGTTGTCCGAGCGAAACACCTTACTGTTGTCACACCCCTCTACAGTCAGTGGTACGATTTCGCCCTGCCTTTAGTCTTACCGTTCTCCTGCCTGACATGGTAGGACCTAAAGGAACATATGTTCCAGCCGAAAAAGTTCGGTCGGGTACCACCAAGTAAGATGTAGAACACCTCATGCTTGCAGTGCGTGTTGACCGAATCTAATTTGACGAATGTTTTTTCAAACTCCTTCAGCAGACCTTATGTGAATTTTTCATATAACTTGCGGCCCGGTGCTTGTGGTGTGACAACTAGACTGGTAAAGGGATCGTACTGAATTGTGAACTTTTATACAATATGGATGATATCTTCCGATACTTTACTTAAAAATGTAGTTCTTTATTCGCTATGCACTTACATTATTTTGATTATTGACTTGTTTCTACACATTGCGCACATTGTAATATACGGTAGGAATACATATCCGTGCTTTCTTTCTCACTAAGATCTAGCACGTAAAAACTAGTAGTCTTAATTTCCGTGAAGGTGTCTTTGGTGCGAAGGGCCGCGATGTCGTTTGAACAAGTAACGAAATACTTTATCCGTCTTCATAAACTAAGTAGGGTTTAAAAGGTTGGATTGAATCCATTTTACTAAAAACAGATACACATGTACTGTATTGTACTACACAATGCAATTCACTGACACAATATTTATTTCTTTCACATGGAACTTGCATCATAATGCACGACTCGGCTCAAATGGCTGGTTCTTGTTATGAGTTTTAATGGATCAGCAACCAGGTTTTATTTTCAGACGATTTATGCAATGAGATTTTATACTTGTAACCCATAACTTTACTTTATTTTTAAAAATAGAACATACTACTTTAATTGCCTATCGAAGGCTTAATTAATTAAATCTTATGAAGCAAACTCCACAAGCAACAAAAGATTATTGAAATGGCGACAGAACGCAGTGGCTTGACATCATCCACAATATCGCACTTTTAAATATCTTAACGTCTTTATAGGAATATCTCAATCGTCTTTTTATAAACTATATTATTTTTTATTGTCAAACTAATTTGGTTAATTTTCACTGCGTTACGTTACGTGAGTGTTAAAAGGACTGTTTTTTGTGTTAAAATATATGAGCTTGTAAGGAAACATTTCAAGACAAAGAACATCTGTTTTTAAAAAAGATCATGATATATCTATGTCAAAATATTTGTTTCCACTTTTGCACACTATGTCTGTAACTTCATGGTAGATTTGTTTGGATTCTCCAAATATTGCCTTTTGCAAGTCCACCTGCACAAATAAATTATAGAGAAATATTCTCACCGAAAAATTATTTAATGTTTCCTTTGAATATTTCTTACGGATATTTCCATTACACCATAAGAGACTCATATGAAACTTAGGATTCTGCAGAATGATAGGAAAACTGACAGTCTTACCTTATAGTACTCTGGTCCTCTAAATGCAGTGACACATGAGTCAACGGAATTAAGTAGAGAGACCAGTGCTATTCGCGACTCTTCAGAAGATACTAAGGTAAAAAATGATCTGACGATTATAAACGGTAGAAAATGAGTACCGTGTATTATCTTCATTTACAAGAACTTCTACGCCATCAAGCGCAATCCAGAACCTGCAATTGCTTAAGTATGCATGCAGTAACCTTACTTTCCAAACGAGCTTACAGCAGAACGAAGATTACCAACGAGATTTTCAATCCAATGGTAATAAATAGGCCAAGTCTTCGACAAACTTATGTGGGGAGAATCCACGGTACAACAATCACCCATTACAGGGTTTGATTGGATTATGGGATTTTTGATAGCTTCAAGTATTTTGGCATGAAAATGAGAGCCTTGATATATTAAAAGAAGCCTTAATGGTTACATGGAATATAAACCGAAGTAGCCCAATTTCCAGGTTCATGAGGAAAAGTTCTCTGACGAAAATCATGCTTCGAAGGATCCTCTTCCCGAACAACAAAACGAAAGGTATCAGAATTTAAATCTTGTAATAATGTAGGCAGCTCCAATTTATCACTTTTTTCATCATCACTTGATGAGTATTCAACTAAGTGTGCATTCATACTACAGTGAATAGATGTAATCAGTAGCGGAATGAAATGTACAAAGTTTCACTCACTAAAACAGAATGAGAAGTAAATAGTAAAGATAAAAATGAGTAAATCAAGAGAATACTCTGTGAGTGCGTCGATGGTTGAATTTATATCAGTATTTGGGGCAGTAGGTCACTGAAAGCTCCAGTACTACTAACTTTCTGTGGAAAGGGCAGTTTCTTTACTTGAACCACAGTAAAGTAAGCTCAGATGAATCAACAACTCGTATGCATGAGATCTAACAGAATAGTTTTATGGATTGTAGATCAACCTCAGATAACTCCAAACTTATGATTTCAAACACTAAACAACCAGATTGTGGTGTTAGGATTCTTTTAGTAAGCTTAATCTCACGAACTAAAATTCCTAAGCTTATTTATAACATAACTACATAAGTTTTTCCACTTCATTATCATGCTTACGTAACAACTCTATATGTCTGCCTATGAGTTGTACTAAAACTTACTCGCACTGCTAACTTGAGCTTGAAGGTCGTTTTTGAGTTTCCGCTTAAATCAAGGACTAAGAATGCAACAGCGCAAGCGGTTGAAGACAGGAAAGTAAAAGCTTGCAGGTTAAAGGCTTCAAAGTCCAGTAAGAACCAATGTTTTATTAGGCGAAATGAAATAAAAAGACTTTTAAGATATTTACCTGCCACTAAGCCCACTACGGTTGTAAGGCAGATCTAACGCACTTAGTGGTAATTAGATATCTATTTATACAGATTCTAGGGCAACCGTTTTGTTGAAGTAGCCTCAATTTATTTATCAGGAGTAAAGGACACACCGACGCTATATTCGTAACTTAAATATTCGTTTTCGTACAAATTGAGGATCGAAATAAGCGGACTGCTTCTGTCTAAAAAAAGGCGAGACCGACCTAGTATGTATTATTTTCAGTGATTCTGGTATTCCAAGAATTGTATGAATAAACTTCAGGACGTTCTAACTGCATGCTACATAAGATTTCATCGTCTGAAAAAACTCCAAACTGCATAAACATCTTTCATTACATAGAAGAGTTTTTTCGGATTGTTTGCGGGTATGTATGATTTATAATAGTAGTTCAGAATGATAAGTTAAGAGACAATTTTATTTGCCAACGATCTTTTGCGTACAATCGAGTAAGTCAGAGATACTGATAGTCGCTAAATTAAATTTGGACATTTGCTGAGGGCTAAAAGAGCAATACATCGTATTCCAAATAATATTAGAAATTTATTCTGAAATAATAACATACTGCAAGAGTTATGTCAATTTACAGGCAAGATCAAAATTTTAAAATTATTAAAAAATTTTCCTGAAAATGTTGTTTAGTCAGATAAATATTTCACAAGACACACTGGCTTTTTATACAGCGCTAATATTTTTCACGTAAAACTGTAGATAACATTTCAGACTCATGACTCTACAAATAGCGAGAGTTATGTCGGTTACTTAGCTACAGTTTTGATTTAAATAAATTCTTCACATGAATCGAGGCCGATCGCTGTCTCGTTTTGGATATCCACGCCTAGCGTATGAGTTTCTTGAAGCTAGCAACGTAATGCGGATGTTTTGATAATAAGTTATTGCAGACTAATATTCAGTGCCAACTTTAACGATTGACCGCAAAGTCGACAAACTTACTTGTAAGACGAACCCTAGCAATTATAAATGGTCTTGACCTACCATTATAAAGACGTTACGGATATGTCATCCTTATCCGCAAAGGATAACCGAGATATACTAAAATGGTAGTCTAGATTTTGGACCCGATATACGATGTATATTTTCCCCGTTTCATCCCAGTTTCTGGGGGAAGCTCCCATACCAACAATTTATTATTCGGGTCAGTGTAGAAAATGGTGTATTCGCAAAACTCTATCCCAGAACTTAACTGTACCCTTTAATACACGGCTGAATCATCGTAACTTATTACATCACATGCCACTGATCGGTAGGAAATCTATAAGTCATGACTTTCTAAGATTATTTCGGTACTTGATATCATCGATGAGTCATGAACCATTTAAGCTTAAATATCGAGATATCTGAAACATATGTACCTAGACTTTGCATCACTAATAAGAAACTGTTCGAATACTATAGCCACACTGTTCTCGAAAAGTCATTTTCATGCATTTAAAGACGAAAACATGATGATGATATTCTTATTGTGCATGAAAATTCAGTTACGCTTGTTGTACCAGATACAGGCAAGAGTGATTGTTCATAATACTATTTAATAATAATA